GTCCATAGTCAGCTGGCACCCAGGCAAGACAGGATGGCAGAAGACCTGGCAGAGGAGGCTGGCTCATGGCATGGCAGCCAGGAAGCAGGGAGAAATCAAGGAAGGAGAAGGAACAAAAACCTCCAGGCCACGCTCACAGTAACCCTCCACAGCTCACCAGGCTTCACCTTCCAGCATAAGTCAGCTACAAACCTATCAGAGGACTAATCCAGTACCACACACCCATGATCCAGTCACTTCTCAAAAGCCCCACCTATGAGTGTCTAGGCTTTGAGGGGACATCTAATATAAATAGTTAATGAATAAATGAAAAAATGTTCAACATCTCTGGCTATGAGATATGCAAATTAAAACGAAATTCCATCTTACTCCAGACAGAATGACTTATCAACAAGAAATCATACCACAATAAAATCAAAAAAGAAAAAAAGAACAAAGAGCTATAAAGGGTACATGTCACAAATAGAAAGTTACTGAACAAGAAACACAAATAGTTAACATATGGAAAGCAATGTATATACAAATAGTCAACTATATGCAAATGAAAGCAAAAAAAAGGATATTTTTTCCCTCCATCAAACTGGCAAAAGATGGGAATTAGTCAACAAAATTATTGGGGCAAGCAGACAATCTCTGAGAAAAAGTAAGTTAGCTCAACATTTGATAAACATTTCACTGGGTAATTCCAAATGGCTCAAACTTTTTCTGTGTGAGGAGGGGGTGTTAAGATGTGAACCCAAGGGTTCTCACACATGCTGTTTTGACCACTAAGTTATATCTTCCCTTTAAATGCCTCAAACTCTTAATGTAAAAGATCAAACTATAACAATACTGGAGGAAAATACAGGAATAATCTAAAGCAACGTTAGAGGAATCACTTTCTAATTATGACACAAACCCTAAAAGTCATAAAAAAGTTAATAAATTTGACCACATAAAAACAAAAAAATTTACAGTAAAAACCATTAAAGGCAACATTAAAATGCAAACACTGAACTAGAAATGAACATATACTCTGTCAGAAGGGATGTTAACTAGTTCTTTTGTGGACACCAATTCAACATCAAATAGTAAAGGGTTTTTAAAAAGTATAGACCCTTTGACCGAGCAATTTCCCTTCAATTAATTCATCCTAAAGAAACAATCAGTATATGAATACTGTACTTTGGTAGAAAGATGTTCATTGTAGTATTATGATACCAAACATGTCAATGTCAGATGTTAAATTAAGTACATTTTTTCTCTGTAATGGAACACTAAGCCAGTTGTAAAAATCATGTTCTAGTAGAAAATTTAATAACATGAGAAAATGGGCACAATAAATTGTTGAGGGGAAAAAAGCAGGTTACAAAGCATTAAGTGCAGCATTACTCCAATTTTGTAAAAGAAAAACATATTTTCATAGGAAATGGTCTGGCTGGCTGGATATAAGTAAAAATGTTAGCAGTGCCTGTACTGTAACTGGTTATGGGATTTTTTTTTTTAATTCCTTAAAGTTCCCTCTATTTTCCAAAGTAATATATATATTACCTGTACAGATGAAAGCGACAAATATTACTTTAAAAAAGAAAGCAAATAACAGCTTTCAAGCAAATTGTAAGTGCCATAATCATCAAAGTACCAGCTCCACCAAGTACAAGCTCATCTCTCTCCATATCCCGAGCAAACCTTTAATTTTTTGTCTGACTTCACTTCCTACCTTGAACAGCTTTCCATGTGATTACACTAAAGATACACATGCATAAAGTTGAAGAGATTAGCTCTAAAAAAGAACTATTAAGCCATTTATCACTGGCTCATCACATTTAATGGATTTTAATCCTTCAACAACCATTAAAGCTTACATTATTTAGCTAAATGCTAACAAAGCAGGCCTTTTATCAGCAGTAGAAGCTATTTAAGGTTTGATAGTTTTTTGAAGATTAAATCCAAACTTTGAGCATAGCCCTGTTAAAGATTCAAAGGTATGTACACTTTAATTAATTAAGTAGTGCTGGGGATTGAACTGAGGGTGTTATGCATGTTAGGCAAGCTCTCTACCACTGAGCTACATAGCTAACCCCTTCCTCACTTTCTTTTAATGTACCACACAAGATTGCAGACCTGATGCAAGGAATACACTCTTGCTTTAAGTGCATATAGATCTCTTAAAAGCTAGAGAAAGCTCTCAGAGGATCTTAGTCCAGGTCCTACCATGGAAGCAGGCCAGTAACAGTCCTAGATTGTTAAAAGCCATGATTTCTCAAAAATCTAGCTCAATGATGTTTAGTATAATTAAAAATCTTAATTGACTGCCACTTTTTTTTTCTTTTTCTTTTTTCTTTTTGAGACAAGATCTCGCTATGCAGTTTACGCTGGCCTTGAACTCACTTTGTAGTCCAGGCTGGTCTCGAACTCGGTAGTGACTCTCTTGCCTCACCTCCCAAGTACTAGGATTACAGGCGTAGGCCCCCACACTCAGCAACTGATGCTAATATTAATATGTTCCCAGACAACCTTCAAAATGGAGTTAAGCTGGGCTGTGGCAAAAAAAAAAAAACCATTTTCTTTTCTAACTGAAGTCATGCTTGTTGTAAGCTAACACTCTGGTTAGCTAAAACTTTGGTGTCCTCTAAATCAAGGCTACCAAACTAACAGCCTCATCAATCAGACAAAAAAAGCATACCCTTCAATGAGAGCTGACAGACACAACCAGGCAGGGGAAGGGGCCAATAAGGGTACTGTTCCGAGGAGTCTGAAGGAATATGGGAGTAGAAATTTTTTGATGAAATTCAGGACATATAACGTAACCTTTGTTTCAGAATATAACCAACAGCAGAATTCTGCCAATTTGCTTTTTCAAACCCAATCTACAACATAAACAAAAATAACACTAGCTATGAAATTGTGCAATATGGCTCTATCTTCTGCACAAATATGTTGAAATGCTGGGCTGGGAGCATTTTACCTTAGAGTACAGCACTGCGGCTTCACTGTAATTCTTCTCCTGGAATTTTTTGTTTCCTTCTTCTCTGTAGAAACAGGGAGCCTTGGGATCCTTTCCCACCAAGTAACCTTGAGAGAGTCTTTTTAAGAACTTCTCATCTTCGGATCTTTATGAAGGAAATAATATTTAAAAAAACACAAAACAGAACCTTATTATTTGAAGGAAAACTCCAGCTCACTGCACTTGAAACAGGATATGTGCCTGAGACATATGGGGCACACAAGGCTATATGTATTATGTAACATGACTGGAAGAAAACACTTTCTCCTGGTCCTGGAGACATATGGGCTAGAAGTTCTATTCTGAAAAGGAGTGCCAATGTCTTATTCCTTACCTCATATTTACTGGTAGTGAGCCATCCCTTGGATCATACATCATAAAGAAGCTGGGATGTAGAGAATGATATAATACATGGATTGCTCACACCAAGGAGTATTCACCACTTAAGTTGTGGGGAAAACACTGAGTGAATGGGGGACAGAGTGGGAGAGAAGAGAGAGAAAAAAAGAGGAGGAGGAGGAGGAAGAAGGGAGGGAAAAGGAAGGGGGGAGGAGAAATGAATCATAAAGCAAATGTAGTGAAATGTTAACATTTGGAGAGTCTGAAGGTTAACACAACAGAAATTCTTTGTTTCTAAATTTACTCCAGCCTTGAACATATAAAGACAATACTCTATGTATATTGGATATACCATAGAACATATCGTCTTATTCTATTTATTTTTTATTTTAAACTTAAAAATCCTACTTCAAACAAAAAGATTGTGGTGAGCGTAAGAAGGAATATTCTCCTTGCATAACAAGAGATATTCTTTAATCTTCATATAAAAATGATGATAAACAATGTTCAACTACTCTTCGGTATAATTAAGATCCAAATTGCAATAATTCATTGTTTCCTTCAGGTCCCAAGTTTAATTCACTGACTCAGTTTTGAAAAGCACTTGAATAGTTGTTTTTTTTTTTTTTTTTTTTTTGGTCTTTTTCAGACAAGGTCTCACAATGCAGTTTGGGCTGGCTTTTAGCTCACTTTGCAGCCCAGGCTGGTCTTGAACTTGCAATGATCCTCTTGTCTCAGCTTCCAAAGTGCTGGGATTATGGACATGCACCACCATGCCAGGCCTCTTTTTTTTTTCTTTTAAGTTCAAAAATATCTTCTAGAAAGTTTGATAAATATGTAACTTTGTGAGATGAAATAATGTTCAGTTTTAGTTTTGTTTTGTAACCACAGGAACTGAATCCAGGGCCTTTGCACTGAGCCATAGACTCAGTCCTTTTCTTAAATTTTGGGAGTAATTCTCACTAAATTGCTAAGTCTCCTAAGTTGTGCTTGAACTTGAGATCCTCCAAATTCTCCCAGAGTGCCTCCAGGTTTTCATTGTAATAGAATATACATAACATACAATGTAAAATCATTTTAACAATTTTTACATGTATAGCTCAGTGGCATTAATTTACTGTAATGTGCAACTGTCACCATTATCTATTTCTAGAACTTCTGCATCATGTCAGACTGAAGCCCTTTCCCTATTAAACAAAAACTCTTCAAAAAAATTTAAAAAATAAACAAAAGCCCTTCATTCTTTTATCCTTGTCCCTCATAAATTCCACTTTGCTTTCTGCCTCTTTGGTTTTTCACAATAAGTGGCATCTACTATTGTGCTTTTGTATCTGGCTTGTCACTTACTAAAAAAAAAATTTTTTTTTTTTGTCTCAGAGACAGAGTCTCACTATGCAGTTCAGGTTGGGCTTGAGTTCACTTTGTAGCCCAGAGGAGTCTCAAACTTGCAATGATCTTCCTGTCTCAGCCTATTGAGTGCTTTGGATTACAGGTGTGCACCACCACACCTGGCTAACAAAAAGTTAAGGTTTATCATGTTGCAATATGTCCTAGAACTTCACTCCTTTTACTAGCTGACTAATTGTCTGTACATGTACACACCACAATTTATCTATTCTTCTTCTTTTTTTTTTTTAAATTTTATTTATTTGTGTGTGTGTGTGTGTGTGTGTGTGTGTGGCCAGCTCAGCCCACCAGGGGGCGGTGCTGGCTGGCATGTGGTGCTGGGGGAT